TTGAACCCTTTGAATGTAGCTCGAGTCTTGTATTTATAGGAAAAGTCCCTGGATGAGTAATCGAGGCTGAATTTACGCATAGTGGAGTCTGACTAGCGCAAGTGGGCAGTCCAATCGACATTTGGGATCGTGAAGTATGGTGGTGAGACTCCAGAAATCCCGGTGAATCTCGGCCGCCGCTCTCGATCGTGGGTTCTGAACCTCTGGCCGTGGAGACGCATTTATGGCCTGGATAGCTGGTGAACCAACATTTCAAGCTGTCAGAATTCTTGTGAGAATGTCCACGTCTAATCACTCTGATCTTCATCACCAAATCCTGACTTCAGTCACTTCCCACCTTCCCTCATGCATTAAATGCTACTTTGTGGCCAATGGGTTTTGCTGCATTAAACAGGCACTACTTCATTAAATGAAGCCTGGGACCCTGCTGTCATGTGATGATTTGCCTTTAATGCCTTGGCCGCAAATTTGTTCTGCCTCGGCCTCGGCCTATGCTTGAGGCCGAGATGATCATGCCTTAGCATTTCCTTCTTTTATTTTGAGGAATGCGAAATACCCTGGCGAAACGCTGCGTTTCAGCCTCTGCAAACAAGTGCCAGGGCCGAGAGAAAGGGCTCCTTCGGCCAGCTCATGGCCGAGATTTATCAGGCACAAACACTAGTGTGGAATGGTTGTAATAGTTGTGGATGTGGAGTTTCCTGGCCTGTTGGTTTGGTTTTAAAGACATGAGCTAGATGTTTGGCCTTTGAAATGGAGGTGGATTGGAGAGCTTGCACGTCAAAACAAAGGTCTTCTTTGAGGCCACCCACAAACACATTCTTCAATTGGGACTTTACCGAGTCAGGGGGGCTCTACATGCAATTTTAGTGAACAAAGTGATGTAATCCTCCAAGGAACCATTTTGTTAAATATGGGATAGTGTAGCCTCGAAATCTTTTGTATCTGAAGTACCAAAGTGTTGGGGTAATAAATTTGTAAAGATACCCCAATCCTTTGGAAGGTGCTGTTCGAACCAACGCATCCAAAAGAAGGCAATGCTGGAGAGATGGACAACACCGACAGTGACCTTGTCTTCCTCTAGATTCCTATAATATGAAAGAAAGCGCTGGTCATATAAGCAAACTACCATAAAGATCCTCACCCGAAAAACACTCAAGGTCAAGTTTAATGATCTTCACGTGGGTGTGGGTTGTATAATAAAGAGGGTTGTTTTGCGGTGGTGGGAAAATTGTAGGAAGTGGGGCTAGTGTAAAAGAGGGTAATGGGTGGAACGTAGTGGATGTAGGGCAGAGGGTTTTCGAAGGTGTATATGGTTTTCGACGGTATATATGTCCTGGTAAAAGAATAGGGTGATCGGAGGTGCGAAGGCCCTGTTTGGTGGGCTGGACTGGACTGTTTAGGATTGGGCTTAGAGTATTGGACTAGTTTGGCTTGGATTGGGTTGGACTTTAATAACTTATTTGGCACATTAAATTGGACTAGACTGCACTGGACTAAAGTCCAGTTCGTTGTTTGGTACAAGTATGGATTGGGCTGCATTGGACTTCAAACAAAATTTATTTTAATGTTTATTAAAATTATTTAATATCAGAAATAATTAAATTTAATATAAAAAACATGTAGACAAAATTAAAAATAAGAAATCACATGAAGATACCATAAAAATAGTCCCAAAATTCATAGTACCATGCTATCAAAGCATATATGACAGTTACTAACATCATGGATGCACACATACGTTGTTTCTCTAACTCTACTGCAACTAGAGTTGTCACAATCTTCCTCTTTCTCTTTCGATCCATGTCTACCCTGCCATTAACAATATTTGCAAGAACAAAATCATAATCTGTGACTTTCTTTTTTATACTCAAACATGAACTGATTATCAGATTATACCCTACCAAATATGTTCAACAACTTGACAAGCAAACGTTCACTGAAATGACTGAAACAACTATTTCTAAGCAAAGTTAATTGTGCCCACTTTGTATCATGAAAAGCTCAGCAAAAATCTGGCCAGGGAAATTGCAGGACATAAAATTATGGTGACAGAGAAGCACCACATACCTGTTGGGTTGTTGTTGCTGCTGCTTAGACCCACTTTCAGCAGTTCCCTTTTGGTTCAATAGCAAGTTGCAATTTTTTGTCCTAACATAAATGCTGCAAATGTTTCATTCCTTTTTTATTTCAATTTCAACTCAACCCTTATGTCAAAATTGCTAGCTACAACCTGCAAGATAAGCATAATCAGCAGGATTAATATGCATAATCAGCAGGATTAATACAAAGCATTGTTGGCCATGGCATTGAAAGTCCTAATACCAATGATGAGAACAGAGAGAAATAAAAAACATTCTTTTTAATACTCAAACAAAAACTGATTATCAGATTATATGCAAATTTAATGTCAATTCTCAAGACCACTTAATGGCATAATTACTCGCTTGAAATAGGAGAGAGAAATACTAGATATGGAATCACCTACTCCGCCAATCAATCTAACTCCTGATCTTCATGAATCGGATCAATTCAAATACCCATGTCTTAATAAATACGTAGGATGTACAGAATACTAGCAATGCTCATTTCAATGCCATGACATTTTTCCCTCTTTCCTTAACTAAGTTAATATGGGTTATAATACATGCACCCATACATCATCATATTGGATATCATGCAACACCAGCTTGCATCATATTCAACACATTCCAATTTGTCCATACATAATGACTAAAACACGCTATTTTTTCTGGTCTTTACAAAGAAATTTTCGAAGCCAAGGTACGAAACAAGATATAACACAAGTCAAATTAATTTGAAAGCAGAAGTTATATCCATATCACATGTAGATATAAGTTAACACAGGTCTATAGGATGCTGAAATAGAACAAAGTTCAAAATTGAAAACAAAACTAAAATCTGATATTCAAAAATTCAACTATGACACATCACTCTAAAAGAATCTCACCCAGTTCATCATCACAAAAGTCAGAGACAAGTCTTCTTTGCATTGCAAACAATTCTCCCAGTAGCATGTCAACTCAATTGTTCATTACCCCCATCATCATCATTACCATTCTGCATATATCTTCCACCAAAACAGCAAACTCACACACTCCCCTTAATCCCTAATCCTCCAAAACCCACTTCACAAAAACAAGAAAACTCCGTCCAAGCTCCCCCACCCCATCAGTCAAAGTTTCAAACCATACCCTAATAGCCAGTAATTAAAACACACTGAAAATATATCAGGTCATGATAGTGTATGCCAACCCTACTAAATCTAGAATTTTGAAGGGAAAACATATAGCATATCCAACTAATAGTATTAGTAATTAGATTACTAGCTAGCCCTTTCACTGCTTGCTCAGGATCCAACACTTCTGGATATGAAATAGCTAATAGCCGAGGAGAAGAGCCGAGGAGGAGGAGGAGGGGGAGGAGGAAGGTAGACAATTGAAAAAGCAGAGGTGAAGGCAGGGGCGTAGAAGAACGAAGGAGAGAGGAAGCGAAGGCCGTAAGGAGAAAAGAGGCGGAGGCGATGTCATTCTAAACTTGTGGTTCCCCTCGGGTTTTCAATACTAGGGTTTGCTGGACTGTTATCCCGTTGAAAATATGAGTCCAGACCAGTCCCATTGTGCATTTAAGCTCGCCAAACGACAGACAGGATTGTAATCCATTTTAATTGAAAAAGTGCAGTCCAATCCAGCCACCAAACAGGGCCGAAGGAGTTAGATAGATGGGGAAGATGAAATAGGTTGGATGCGAAAGATGGGAACTTGGGTGTGGTTATCATGGGTGTTTGGTGTATGTGGGCTGGTGCGAAGCTAAAGTATTTCCTCTGTTGTGCGGAAGCGTCAATCAACTATGAGTGAAAAATAAACAACAACAACTGGCAAGAGATAAAAGGAATAAAACAACACCAACAAGAACACTAAGATTTATGCTGTTTCGGCAATGCCTACATCCAATTTGGAGACAACGGAGTAATCCACTATAATCAAATGAGAGAATACAATAGTGTTTAACACTCAATTTCCCAAAGACCCAAATAACCCAAGCTCACAAACTCACAATAGGAAAAGAAAACCAAAAATACAAAGGAAAGAACAATTAGGAGAATTTTCTTCTCTCTGCCGAATGGCTTCTTGCTATTTTCTCTCTCCCTCACTTTTGGTGGCACCTTCTCTCCGCTCAGCACTTGCTGCCGTCCTCCTTTTATAAACCCATGCAGCAACTTACAAAAGAAGCAACTGCATGCCTAAGGAAGCCACAATAAATGGTTGGTGGAAAAATCTCCCTAGGACGGAACCATTAATGTCCAAGCACCAAAAGGATTTGCAACTAGTCTTTGCTTTCCCAATGTTTGCCAATCAGCCAACTATCAAAATAAATAGCCGAAAGCAACATTGCACATGGGTGCAATCTTGAGTCAAATAGTCAACAATCTCCGCCTTAACTCAAAATTGCACCAAACTATAGTAGTAATACTCCCAATGATCGTCTCCCAATCCCCCACAGGACAATCAACAAATTTTACAAATGCCAATCAAGTCTAAGCAGTGCTTAAACTTGAGCAACGAAACTGGCTTTGTTAACATATCTGCAAGATTGTTGGATGTCCCAATCTTCTGAAGAAGAATATCTCCCTCGTCAATCTCATGAACAAAATGTAACCTTACGTTAATGTGTTTCGTACGTGCATGATGAACTTGATTCTTTGCTAAATAAATAGCACTCTAACTGTCGCAATGAACATCCACATGGTCCTATTGAACCCCTAAGTCATCAAGCAATCCTTGAAGCCAGATGGCTTCCATAATAGCTTCTGTTACCGCCATGTATTCAGCCTCAGTAGTTGACAAGGCAACTGTAGACTGCAAAGTAGATCTCTAACTCACTAGATCTCCAACAAGAGTGAATACAAAACCTGTAGTGGACTTGCGCTTGTCCAAATCACCTGCATAATCAGAGTCCTCATATCCAACAACATACTGACCAGTAACTTTATCCTGCTAAAATAATAAACCAACATCCACAGTACCCAAAATATATCGTAGAATCCATTTCACAGCTTGCCAATGCCCTTTTCTTGGATTATACATATATCTACTAACAATACTAACAGCTTGTGAAATATCAGGCCTAGTACACACCATATCATACATCAAATTATCAACAACACTTGCATATGGTATTTTGAGCCATGTAACGACTCTCCTCATCAGTGTTAGGAGACATAGAAGCACTAAGTTTGAAATGAGGGGCAAAAGGTGTACTAACCGATTTTGAATTTTCATTCATCCCAAAACATTGTAGTACCTTCTTCAAATACTGCTTCTGACAAAGACTAATCTTGCCCTTCGCTCTATCTCTTTCAATTTCCATACCTAGTATCTTCTGAGCTTCTCCCAAGTCCTTCATCTCAAATTCATTACTCAATTGAGCCTTCAACCTTTCAATCTCCACTTTGCTCTTACATGCTATAAGCATATCATCAACATATAGAAGCAGATAAATGAAGGTTCCATCTTGTAGCTTGCGAAAGTATACACAATGGTCATAGTAACTTCTTGTGTACTTTTGCTCGATCATAAATTGATCAAATCTCTTGTACCATTGTCTTGGAGACTGCTTCAAGCCATACAATGATTTTCGCAATTTGCAAACCCAATTTTCATTGCCAGCAACCTTAAAACCTTCCGGCTGAGACATATAAATCTCTTCCTCCAAATCACCACCTAAGAACGCAGTCTTGACATCAAGTTGAGCCAACTCAAGGTCAAATTGTACAACAAAAGCCAACATAATACGAATAGAAGAATGTTTTACTACAAGAGAAAATACCTCATTGTAGTCAATGCCTTCCTTTTGAGCATAGCCTTTAGCTACCAATCTAGCTTTGAATCTTACATTGTCTTTTCCCAAAGATTCCATCTTCTTGGCATAAACCCATTTGCAACCAATTGCTTTCTTCCCCTTCGGTAATTGAACCAGCTTCTAAGTCTCATTTTTATGAAGAGATTTCATCTCCTCATCTATAGATTTCTTTCACTCTATGCTCTCTAAACTTCTGACAGCTTCTTTGTAGGCGGACGGAATATCATATTCAATAACAGGAAGTGCATATGCTACAATATCAGTAAACCGAGCAAGCTTTCGAATTTCCCTTCTCGATCTTCTGGTTGTGATAGAATCTTGTTGCTGTGGAGGCTTTTAGGTAGGTGCCTCCTCTTCATCATCCTCTCCTCATCATCATAATCAACTATAAGACTAGTGTCGGTAACATCAAACCTTACTGGAACAACTGAAGTCTTCAGTAATCCCACCTGCTTTGAACTACTCATGATCTTGGTCGCTTCAGTTTCACCCTCATGCTTGTTTTGATTAACCATAGCAGCTTCATCAAAAGTCACATCCCTGCTTACAACAAATTTCTTCTCATCTGGATACCAGAGTCGATATCCTTTCATGCCATTGCTAAAGCCCATAAATAGAGCTTTCTTTGCTCTTAGATCCAACTTGCTTTCCCTGACATGATAGTAAGCGGGACAACCAATTATGTGTAAATACTTGAAATTAGTACAAGGTTTACCAAACCATACCTTCATGGGCGTTTTGCCTTCATTCGCAGCAGTAGGCAACCAATTAATAAGATGGCTTACATAAGTAATCGCCTCAGCCCAAAACGCCTTGCCTAAACCAGCATTAGACAACATACACCGGACTTTCTCAAGCAAAGTACGGTTCATGCGCTCTGCCACCCCATTCTATTGCAGTGTCTCCCTAACCGTGAAGTGCCTCACAATACCCTAATCTTGAAAAATTTCAAGAAAGGATTAGACTTATATTCACCACCATTGTCTGATCTGAGAGTCTTGATCTTTTGACCGCTTTGCATTTCAATCATCTTTTTCCACTTCAGAAATATCTTCAAGACTTCATCTTTACGCTTCATGGTGTACACCCATACTCTTCTAGAGAAGACATCAACAAAGGAGACAAAATAATGGCTACCTCCCCAAGATGCATTCTTAGAAGGTCCCCAAACATCAGTGTAAACATAATCTAGAATTCCTTTAGTGTGGTGAATAGCAGTACCAAATTTCACTCTAGTTTGCTTACCCAGCACAAAGTGTTCACAGAATTCCAATTTGCATGCCTTCACACCTTTCAATAAGTCTTGTTTCACCAATCCTTGCAATGCCTTTTCACCAGCATGCCCAAGACGCATATGCCATAACCTCGTATTGTCTGTGCCTTCTGCATCAACACCTTCGATGATAGCTGATCCACCAATAACTGTACTCCCATGCAAGAAATACAAGTTATTTCGTCTTGTACCTTTCATCGCCACCAGTGCCCTGTACACAACTTTAAGAACTCCACCCTCCATGGTGATCTTAAGACCCTTGGATTCTAATGCAACTAATGAGATAAGATTATTCTTCATATCCAATACATACCGAACATCACTCAATTCTCTGATTATTCCATCATGCATCTTCAAACAGATTTTGCCTGTCCCTTGTGTTTTGCAGGCATTATTATTGCCCATCAAAACAACTCCACCATCAAGCTCCTAGAAGCTAGAAAACCATTCCCGAATGGGAATGGGACACATATGATAGGTGCAATTTGAATCCAAAATCCACTCCTTGGAGTGACCATCAGCAGATGAATTAGCCAAAACAAATTTGAAATCATCATCTCTAGATTTTGCAACATTTGCTTCAGAACCCTAAACCCTAAACCCTTTTTTGGTGAAAACCAAGGTATCCCCCACGCGATTGCGGGGACTAACCCTCGAGGTACTGTCGGGCCCAAAGCGGGGACCTCTCCCAACAAAGTCTGCTCTATTCACAAGCGCCTGGGATCGAACCCAGGACCTCTTGTTTAAAGGATCCAAGCCCCTTCCACTTGGGCAGTCTTTCTTCCAATGACCCTTTTGGCGACAAAAAGCACATTCGTCTTTAGCTGGGAACTTCCCTCGCGACTTTGAACAAGATTTTCCTTGCTTCCCAGATTTTCTTTCCTCTATTCGACCCCTTGCAACGAGTGCCTCGCACTACAACAAAAATCGCAATAGATGACGATAATCCACCGTCGTGTATCCGGTTTTTCAACCGTCGTGAAATCGACCGACATCTTTTGATGCATAAAACCACGACGGTAAATCCCCGTCGCCTATTATTTGTAAAGACGACGCTTTTACTCAAAACCGCCGTCTATTATATGTAAAGACGACGGTTTGTTTTTTAAAGAACTGTCGTCTATTATATGTAAAGACGACGATTTTTTTGAAAGAACTGTCATCTATTATATGTAAAGACGACGTTTTTTTAAAGAACCGTCGTCTATTAGATGTAAAGACGACGGTTTTTTAAAAAGGGTCGTTGATTGTATATAAAGATGACGATCTTTTGTTAAAAAGGGTCGTTGATTGTATATAAAGACGACGGTATTGTGTTAAAGATGACGGTATTGTGTTAAAAAGGGTCGTTGATTATATGCACAGACGACGGTTTTTCCAATAAAACCGTCGTTTTATTATTTTTAAATCTGTCGTCTAATAAGTTCCAAAGTTGTTCCATTTTAGTTTTTTGTTTCCTATGATTCTATACAACGATTTTAACTAGAAAACCAATTATAATGCTTCAGTAACAAATATATACACTCAAAAATGATTTCTTTCATAAAACTTGAAGATTCAATCGTTATTACATAGTCAACCCATCTTTATTCTATTACATACATACTTCCTACCTATAGTCCGAAATA